AAAACACTGGCTTGCATCCACAGATGCTTCTCAAGCAGATCCCGGGATGTCATTCTCCTGCTGTACTCAGCCTTGGTGAGGCCACAGCTGGAGTACCGCATCCAGTTTTGGGCTCCACAATTCAAAAAGGATGTGGAGAAGCTTGAGAGAGTGCAGAGGAGAGCCACGCACATGATCAGAGGTCAGGAAAACAGACCTTATGATGAGAGGCTGAGAGCCATGGGGCTCTTTAGCCTGGAAAAGCGCAGGCTCAGGGGTGATCTGGTGGTCACCTATAAGCTTATCAGGGTGCTCACCAGGATCCGGGGGAACGACTGTTCACCAGAGCACCCCAAGGGATGACAAGATTGAAAGGTCACAAACTCCACTGTGACCAGTTCAGGCTGGACATAAGAAAGAACTTCACTGCCCGAGCCCCCAAGCTTTGGAACAGACCGCCACCTGAGGCGGTTCAAGCACCCACTTTGAATGCCTTCAAAACACATTTGGATGTTTATCTTGCTGGGATCCTATGATCCCTGCTGATTTCCTGCCCCTGGGGTGGGGGGGCTGGACTCGATGATCCTCCGGGGTCCCTTCCAGCCCAAATGTCTATGAAATCTATGAAATAAGCCCAGGGTGAACACCAGCGGAATAAAAAATATTTAACCTAAAAGACAGTGCTGACAGAAGAACAAATGGGCATTAGATGGCCATGAATAAATTAAGCTGGAAATTAGAAGATGTCTAACTATCAGAGGAGTGAAGTTGTAGAACTGCCTTCATTGAGACTTGTGGGGGAAAAAAGCTAATTGGTCTGAAGACGGAACTTGATCAGTTTCTTTAAAGGATTGTATGACATAGTACTTGTGATAGCAGGAACTGCACCAGATAATTCAGAAAGCCCCTTTCAGTCCTATATTTCAAAGAAGTTTCTACCCCTCATCGTTGTGAAAAACAGTTGGATAAACATAAAAATGGAAAACCCTGAGGACATATCAAACGCATATTAGATTTATCATTAATAAAATAAAATCTCAAGACGTTAAGGGGCCTGAGCCATGATTTTTTGAACACTCAAGGGTGGCAATACTAATTATGGGTAAAACTGTTTGCCAATGCTAAAGTCCCTGTACAAGAGCACACCTGGATTGCAGCAGTCAACACAACAAAGAGAGAAATAAAATACAGCCTGTTTATAGCACATACCTGTCTGTGCAGAATCTTTCTGCGTAGGCCCACTTTCAGAGAGTCAAAACTAAGCCTTAGGCTGCAGGAGAGAATCCACTGCCAAACACAGGCAGACTTACTTCAGCCCTGGGAAGCCAAAATAAAGATCATAGGCTTAACTCACAGTCATCTGCTTTGACTACAGCACGTTATTGGCTTCTCCCTGGTCAGAACACCCCAGGTGCATGGAGCCTCCCAATCTATACAAGAAGAGAAATAATTTGTGCTCTCCCCACTTTTGATCGCTTTTGATAAACTTTGCCTTGAGCAGGGGGCACTGGGGAAGCTTCCTTTTCAACAGAAAGGAGCAGGGCCTCTGTCTGGGGTCTTGTGAAGCATGGAGCGCACACACCCCAGCACAAGCTCTGTAAATGCCATCAAAGCAACCGCTTCCCAAACACTGATTATAAAAATAAACTGGCAAGTATTTTATTACATGTCTTCAGAATGAAAGCCATTCACTCACCTGGTGAGTGTGGTGGACTCGGTCAGGATCTGGGGAAAAAAGGAACGCTGGCTTGCAAAGCATCTGCCCTCTGGAACCGTGAACACACACGAGCATTCCTTTCTGACAACTCTGCCCAGATTTATTAGCTGCAAGCAATTCTCAGCTAATGTGTGAAGAACATTGACGTTAGTTAATTCCTAATTATAAATCATTTCAAATCATTTAGTCACTCAGAATATAGCCTTTCCATTGTGCAAGTGTGGATCTTGTTTTACCTGAAATGCCTAGATTGGGGAAAAAATGGAACACTGCTTTAGGAGAAAAGGAAAGCATTACTTTAAAAAGGACAACACCTTCCCCACCCCTACCCCCCACAAAATCCTACTTGGGCTGAGATGTTTTTTGCTACATTCCTGATTTTGGCTGCTACTGGGATTAAAACAGTCAGAGTAAAATATATGGGCAGACCAAGAACAAGAAACTCAACTGAAGCCTTTGTAAGGATCACACCTATTACTTGTCTCTTCTTATAGGTTTGATTCTAATTATGTGCAGGATAGACAGGATGCAGGGTGTAAAAGTGCCAGGGGTACAGTTCTTTAGGTAGATGTGGTATCTTTTATTAGACCAACTGAGTAGTTGGAAAGAAGTTCTTAGTAAGCTTTTGGGCGCAGTCACCCTTTGCCAGGCATAGGGCATCTCTGCTGGTCTGAGTGTGGAGGGATGTCAGTGAAAATGTAAATAGGTAGAGATAAGCAAGACAAAAGGAAAAGCAGGGAAGGGAGGGGGGAAAGAGCAGGGGGAAGAAAAAGTCAGAGGATGACCTGTGCTATGCCAAACAGTGCTTGTGAGTACTGAACACATCTCAGGGAGCAAGTGCTTGGCTAGGATGAAGCTCAGCCTTGAAGTCCAATGCTGGGAAGAGCTACTGGAGATGGGATGAACTGTTGTTGGGGAAACTAAGGGATTTGTAATATAGATGGTCAGCAGGCTTGATTTAAAGGCAAGCCTAGGAACAACTTTCAATAGGATAACTTTAGTCATGCCTGGGATCTAAGATAAGGTCAGCCTGTCTGCAGCTGTTTTTATGGATGGAAAAGTTGCTGCAAATCCCCACAGCACTATGCATTACAGCCCCTATCTATGCCATCAAGCCTTGTTCCTTTGGCCTCCAAACCCACTGTATGTCCACTATGTTGAGGGTTGCAGAACAGCATAAGCCACCTTGTATAAAGCCAGCTCCTGGTATTATCTTGTATTCTAAGAGTGTTCTTCCACTGGTGGCAACAGTAAAAAAAATTGTACTGCAGGAAAAATAATGCTTCAGGTCCTGCCATATTTGAAGACTATGCACAGAATAGCTACATCCCAACCAGAAAGGATTATTTCAAATCACAAAAAGGGACTTAACTGAGAACATAAACAAGTGATTGTTACTAATCCTGCCATTCCTGTGATTGCTTGCTACTATGATAGCAATGTATAACTTCAGAGTTCTATTAATTCTAGCTACTCATCCATAGGTAAATAGTAAGCCTATTTTACAGGTAGAGAAACAAGTGACAGAGAAATTAGGGTCAACATTTCAAATGTGTGCGCAAAGGTAGGAACCTCCATGCATGCCACAGTGAATGCAACCAGTGGGTGTGAAAACTAGATCACTTATTTAGGTATGTAAAATTAGGCACCTAAGTCAGAAAACGTTGGCATAAGTGACTTGCCAAAGGCCGCATGGCTAAGGTTTGAGTCATTAATTGATTAATTCCACATGCTGTGAGGAGTCTTTTTTAAGCCTAAAGGACAGTGCATAAATTTAGGCGCATACTGAATTCTTCAAGGGATCAGGTCCTCACACCATTTAACTTGCAGTTGCTCTGTGCAGATGGACACCTGTCCCAATGGAGAAACCCAGTGAAAGCACTAAATGTGCAGTTGTAGCAATGCAGAGGAGCCTGCAGAATCAGGGTCTAAATCAGTTGCCAGTAGGGATAACAAATCTTAGGAGTTCATGAATCCCAATCCCAATCACTAACCACTCTGCCAGTTGGTATATAAATGGAATTTTCCTTATTGCAACCCTGTATTTTTTTCATATAAAATCTTCATTTGCATCCTGAGGCAGACTGAATTGCTCATAGCACATACACAGAGAAACTCTTGCTGTTGGGCAAGAAGCATTGGCATTTATGCTCATTCTAGTCTAGAGCACTCCATGTTCCATTTTGTACTCATGGACGATCTGTGATGTCTCTACAGAGATATCTGTGAATACATCTTAACTTTTGGAGGCTGTAAAGAGGGTTTGCCAAAAATTAAGTCATCTTGTTTTCTGTATTGTAAATGACCCATTTTATCAGGATGCCAAGGCATATAGTTGGCTCTTAAAAACTCCTCTGGACATAAGCTTTAGAATTCAGCCTGGCCTTAGAACATTATTTCTTCTCATAAAGCAGAAGTTGATAGACTCAGCTTGTATTTTTAGGCTCGGGCATTAACCATTAAGATTTTAGTGATCAAATGGAGGAAGTTCTCAACACTACAAGCTTCTCTCAGCTGATTAACAAAATCAGCTTTCAAACATATTGAGTAGTGGATTTTCCAGAGCAAGGGGAAAGTCTTTGACAGAGCTGGCAATAGAATCCAAATCCACTAGCTCTTCTTTTTTCTTTCCTATCATTTGATGTCATGGTTATACAGTACTTGAAACTAAAGAACAAATCTTTTCCTTTTCTTCCCATTACTTGAATAGCAATTACATCTTTAAAGCACAATTGTAACAATGTTATAAGAGTTTGGCATAAAAATCATGGTTGAAAGCTATCTTTTAATTAGCAAAGAGTTTAAAATGACAAGCTTCAAAAGAGAATAGTGACACTGATTTTAAAGACAGTTTTAGACTATACTAAATTAGTCCTAAATAGTTTTCAAACAATTTAAATAACTTTTAAGTGACTCCTTTCTCAGTACCATATTGTAATCTTACTTGATCCTTCAGTGAAACCAAAATCATTTGTTATATCACATTCCTCACTCTAGGAAACACTTACCTCAAACTGCCTGTTAATTCTCTGGTTTTTGCATATCCAATCCCTTCTCACAGAAAGTGGCTTAAGTGCCTTGCACCCACAGCTGCCTCAACAGATCAGAAGCTTGCCTGCTCATGTTTTCAGATATGATAAACAACAATTCTATATGGAAAAAAGGTCTTAAAAATGAAAGCCTGAAAGGGATTTAAAAGGAAAGCAGCAGTGCCACTGAGGAATATTATTCTGTATCAGATTGTAAATATTTATGCTCTTCATATTCTTTATTTGGATCACTAATTCTCCAGCTCTCGGTCATGATAGAACACCACAATTATCTGGCCAAGAGAAATACTGCAAAGAAAGGAGTAGCCACAGAGAGGTTATCCTTATACAGCATAACAGATCCTTATTCAAGATCTGTCTTGAACTCAGAAAATATGATGGACACGTCTGGTTTTTATTTACAAATATTTATTTTCACTCTTAGGATAGTTAGCTAAAGATGTGGGAACGCATACTTGGTTTACCATCAGTACACACATATCTGAGAATGCAGGGCCTTCCTGAAGAAACTACATAAATCTGTTGCAGAAATTCCCCATCCGTGTTGAAAAAAGAAACTGTAAAGTGTGATTCTTCAGGGAAGATCCTCTAGATTTGAACTGGCACAACTGGGAAAATTTAGCCAATAAAATATAATTGGGACCCATAGAATCTGGTATTGAATAATGAAGTTGTTCTGGACTTATTCCAACTTTACTGCGAGCAGAATTTAGTCCAATGAACCTATTTAATACTGACAATATGGTCTATTTACCTGTCACTGCCAAATACTGGAGAGCAAGTATCAATATTGCTGTGGTTGTCATGTTGACCAGTTCCTCAGTTAGGGGTCTCATTTATTTTACAGAAGTTTGGATGAAAAGATAGCACAAGGGCTTGATTTCAATAAAAGATTTTTGACAATAAAAATGTATGATTATTTTGTTTTTAAATTTTAAAAGAAACTGAAAACTAAATTCTGTCTTCCTTATATAGACAAAACTCTTACTGAAGACCTGTTTCCTTCCAAGTGTAACAACAACTTGATGTTTAAAAGAATAAAGAAAAATTATGCCCTGGCACCTAAGATGAACATTAGAAAACTCAGGCCAAGAAACATTTGAGCAACATTCAAAGGTTTCAATAAGAATACAAAAGACATACTGAGTCAGACCAAAGGTCCATTTAGAGTAGTATCCTGTCTCCAACCATGGCAAGGAGGAGGTGCTTTATTGGGATAAAGGAGATGGCTGATAAGTCCTCCTCATCAGCCATCTTTGGACACGCAGATAATACAATCATGGAAGGCATTCAACCTTGACTGTGAGGGATTGCTGAAGAAGGATTGGGAAAGAATATGTACAGGGCATATCTAATGTAAACCAAGCCCTGTTATACCCTCTCTGCCATCAACTATCATTGATTTGGGGAGGTTAGAGGATATATCCCTGACTCTTAATAGCTACTGATGGACCTGTCCTGTCCTTTAGATATTGTCTAAACATAAATGAACCAAACAGGCTGCATCCATCAATATGTACATACTGTATATAGATCTCACTAAGCATTTGAAGCTTTGTACTGCATCCCTGGTTATAGTACAAGGAACTTTGTTATTAACTTCAAGGTGTATACCATCAGGCTTTACCTAGTTAAGAAATGCCAACGATCTGAGGGACCTGTATGATCAAACAAAATCCAAACTGCAGTGGAAAGAAGTAAAGTAGGACATAAAGTTTTATTCTGAAATGATCTCTGGCCACAACAACAAAATGTAACAAATATTCACTAAAACAGTCTTACTCCTGTCATCAGCTGTACAATACATACAGTATCATAAAACTGGCCACTAGGATTAAAATCCACTACAACATCTTTAATGTTAAGTGGCGACAGCAGCATCTCACAGAAAATTATACATACATATATACACAGTCAACATTCAATCGTTTTTCACGTTTTCAGTACACACAGTTGCAGCATATTACAGTCACGTGTCTAAGTCGTTGCTCAATAAAAACCCAAGCTACTGCTTAGACATAGTTGTAGCAGTTGAGCTGAGATTTTAATCACAATTTGTAGCAGAGATGTACAAGCCCCTAGAAACAATAATTCACAAATGTATATTTTATTTAAATGCTACCGGAGCAGTAAGTTGGGCAATATTAAAGTCTTTACCAACATGGAACAAAGTGTTCTTTTCCTACTTACTGGAAACATCATTGATGGAAAAAAATATATATATTATCAAATGGAGAGTAGCAAATAATACATGCTCTTCTTAAAGATTCTAATACTGCCCAATGCTACTTATGCCTAAAGTGTTTTAACGTTCTCCGGGAGTCATTTAGAACTCCACACCACCTACCAAGTTAAAAGTGGCTTAAGTGCCTTGCACCCAAATTGTAAAAATCCCTGGCCACCTTTATTAGAGCCAGGCACATATAAAAGGAATGCACTTTGGTTCATACCAAATGCCCTGGGATTAAATCACACTATAAAATTAAATGGTTTGAGGTAAATTTTTACAAATACAGTTGATTTCGTTCTAGTGTTATCGTAACAAAAATTTATTTAAAAAAAAATCCAGTCTGATGTTAAGGTACAACCAATGAGGAAGTGCCATCTTTAACCCCTTTAAGCAACGTGGAAGTTACTACAAGAATAGAGTGTTCTATCGAGCGTAGTAGTATGATTGCCTTATGGTATCTATTAAGGCCTTGAAAAAGTACAGGATGTTTTTAAGACAGGTAGAGCATTTAAAAATAGATTTCATCCTCACTATCTAGTATTCAAAGGGTTAAAGAGGCCACAATGCATGCCCTACAACATGGCATTTATAACAAAAGGCACATTGTTAACACCAAGGGCACAATTTATCCTCTATTGTTAATCTACACATCTTGCATCACTTTGTTGTTCCAAAACACTTAAGTGGTAATGAACACTCCAGTGGTGCAAGAAACTGAGCCAAAAGAGACTGCAACCAAAGACAAGACAACACTGTGCTATTACTAAATCTGAAAATAGCTCAGACATCCCTAGACAATGGTTACATGTGAGACTAAGCACTGTTTCCAAGCCAACTTCTATGCGCCTAATTATCAGAGCCCTTATAATAAAATCACATCAAAGCAAGAGGCAACATCCTTTTCCTTTTTCCTTCTTTTTACATTTAGAAATAAGCTACGATAAAAAGCAGCTAGATTACTAAAAACCATAACATAGCTGCTTCTTTAGGTATAGTTGAAGTTTCAATGCATTGGGTTAAAAAAATAGCTCTGCACACTATATTTTGGCCTAAAAGTTTCCGGTAGCATTCATGAATAAAGTCAATCACAAATGCATTATTGGCATTTAAGAACTGGTTACATGAAACAGAAAATGTAGTGGTTTTAGCCCATTAATGACCCATGAATGATGTTATGAATGTTTTCTCCTTACATTTACACTGAAACCAGGAACAAAAATGTGATGGGGAAAACCTATTTCCTTCCCTCATAATGCAGTCTTCATGCTTTAACATTTGTGAATTTCCTAAACAGCTAATGGTAGAGGGGAGAATCCCAGTTACTGCATAAAAATATAGTTATCATAGGAATCTAATATGTTTATTTTATATGAAAGCTAATAGGCCTAGAAGTCTATTTTCTAGACCTAGAAACTACCAATCATAAGTTAATGGATATTTGGATTACAATGCCAGTTTTATTTTAGTTGTATTATTGTATCTCAGTTTTGAACATGATTCCATAAAAGCTTACATATTGCACTTACACACACTGTATAAAATTGTGTACATTTAACACTGGGACAGAGAACTATAATTTAAAAAAATAGTAAGAACATTAGTTTATCAAAGCTCTAACGTTAAAATTAGCAATTAATAAACATCATCCTTTTTCACAAATTTTTTTTGGGGTTTCTTTATGTATTGACTTTTTGGCAAACAGTTATATGTTTCCTGAGAGTTCTATCTTTTCTTATTACTATCGCACCCCCAGAATCTTAAGTTAAATTAAAATAATTAAGAGCAATTTAAGTTTAAAGTGAAAATCTCAATGAATATGTAAGAGAATTTAACCGGAAACTTTCTTAGCCTCTCTGGGGACCGTGCTTTAAGTATTTTTAACCATTTTTACAAGTAACGTAGTGAAATCTGTGCACATAAACATTGTTTATAATAAAGTTACTGAAGTTTTATGAAATCCATCCTAATGTCGTTCATTCCAACTTCCACAAACCCTTCCAGTTTATTTTCTACTTTCCTTAAAATTCCCTTTGCATGTCCTTCACAATCCAATGTAGATTATTATCACTGCATATGATTTAATACTGATTTTACGTTTCAAACTGTTTTATTAAAAAATATGTTGCACTGCACAGTAATTCTTACTTAATCCTGGTTCTCATCCCTTGATCAGGACCACTTTCTTTCCATGAGTGCAATTAAAACACATACATGTGCACGCGTGCGCACGCGCGCACACACACACACACACGCACACACACACACACAAATCTACATAAATCTCTACTGTTCCTTCAAGGTTCTCTTCAGCTATCATGCTAAAGATTAATTCAAATCACTTAACTTTCCCTTGATGTTTCTCCCTTAGAGATGTACCAGCTATTCCACCAATTAAGCTGATGTCATCCATGGAGGATGCAATTAACATGCTAAGATTTAACAATCTTCACATAGTAGTTCTCTAGAAGAGCAAAACAGTGTTTTGTCCTTGCATACAGATTTGATCAGAAGGTTACAATGTACCAATGAGGTCATAATCCATCAACTAGAGATTGTCTGGAAAAAAATATCTGTGAAATCTATGTAGCATTAACAGTCTGGGAGGTACAGTGTAAAGATGACAACAACTGCAAATGTGATGTAGAGAGCCCTGGCTTCACTTAAGCAGAGAGGAGAAACTAGGAGGAGAAAAAAAAAAGAAAGAAACCAAAAGGGAGCGATGTTGGCTGTACACCTGAAATTAAGTGCAAAACATTTTCCTTTACATTTCTTCATCTTCAGAAAGTGGCTCATCTGTCTTATTAAGATTTAGAGGAACACATACAATCCCACCCTCATTCATCCTCCCACTGTCTGTTCCTCTCCTTTTAATACAGGGTATGAATGCTAATAAGGTATTTTTAGTCCCAGCAATTTTCGCACTGATGCCTGCACATTTGTTTTAATCATTGTGTCTCATTTTTTAAAAATTCTCTAGGATGTGGCTGTATCATTATGAAGCCTCAGCTTCCTCAAAACATCATGGAGAAAATGACAGTATTAGATGCTATGGCCCCAATTCTGAAAGTGCTTACACAGGTGTCAAACTACACATCTCAGTAATCTCAAACAAACCAAGCAAACCAAAGTCAAGCACATGTTCATTTTTTGCCAGATTGGGGCCATCATCTGTAAGTATGGAAGAGAATTACAAAATTATCCTAAAGAAAAACTAATCCAAACTATGGAAAGAAAGGTTAACATCTTTGATGTCACGCTGTAATGCATGACAATCACGTTGTAACCAGTGGCCTGCCACTGATGTTTATTACTGTGCCACACTAATTACAGTAAGGCTAATTGTACTTTAGAAGACAAACATTTTTAAAAAGAAGTACAAAAACTTAAAGCATCGTCCCCATATTTTATAAAAAGAAAATCAACTTTTCTTACATTTAAAATGAGTGCTTGAAAGATACAAATGAATAAAGTTATTGAGCAAATAAAAATAGAAATCTGAGCTACTTCTTCATATGAGTAAGGCTCAGCCACGTAGTATCTCTTGTATAACCAGCAGTGGGGTTTTTCAAACTCAGCTAACGAGTTTTGGCAACACTGTTCTCTGCTGAATATTCCCATTGGCATCTGTCATCTGAGCCAAATTAGTCCTCAGTTTTGAAGCTGAGCTTGAAGTTGGAGGTAACTTGGAAATTGACGTTATAGCACCAGTGCTCTCCGTTATTCTTTTTGCCGTTGTCTTCTCCCCAGTTGGAGGCTTTGGCAAACGTCTCCTAAGCCAGGGATGACGTAAAGCCTGGCTGGGCGTCATACGTATAGCAGGATCCCATTCTAAACACTGTTTTAAAAAGTCAAGAAAGAGGGGATCATCACATCCCTTTAATGCATTCCCCCACTCTCTGCTCTCCGGTGGGCCACGCAATTTTCCCCTCCGGGAACGGCCACCATTGAGTACTACAGAACCATCAGACAAAGTTGTAACAGTACAATAACGGGGATAACCCTTAGAGCTTACAAAGTTTTTGGCTCGTTTGGATGAATCTAGCAGTTTTTGGGAGGGCATGCCCAGCAGCTCTATCATACAAGCCAGCTGGTCCCCTTCATCTTCTCCAGGCAAGAGTGGATAACCTGTTAGAAGCTCTGCTAGAATGCAACCTAAGCTCCACATATCAATAGGCATCCCATAACGAGCACCAAGGATCACTTCTGGAGCACGGTAAAACCGTGACTGAATGTAAGTGTAGACACGCTGATGTTCATAACAACTAGAGCCAAAATCAATAACCTTAATACCACTTCTGCCCTGCTGCTTCAAGAGAATGTTCTCTGGTTTAAGGTCACAGTGAATGATTCTATTTTTGTGCAAAGCATCCAAGCACTGTAGAATTGAGTGGGCAAACTTGCGAACCAAAGGCAGGCTGAAGCCCTGAAATTTGTTTTTCTTTATTAGCTCATAAAGGTTCATACTCAGCAACTCAAATGTCATGCAGATATGGTTGCGGAATGTGAAGTTTTCCAACATATGAATGACATTCATGTTGTTATCCTTATCTTGCTTCCTTAGATGCTCCAAAATTCGGATTTCTTCTGCAGCTTGGCGGTGGAAACGTTTTTCATTTCTCACCATTTTTAATGCCACATGCTGATGTATCTTGTGATCATAGGCTTTCACAACTTGCCCAAAGCTTCCTTTCCCTATTACTTTCAGGACTTCATACCTGTATGCAATATGATCATGGGGTACTTGCACGTAAGACCCCTGGTCATCATCATATCCACCATTGTTTGGCCCACCAATCACGCCTTGCCGTTTCTTTGCATTTGGACCCAAAAAGTATATTTCAGGGTAGTTGAAAATTTCATGGTGTTCAAAGGCTGTTAATTTTTGCATGTATTGCTTCATTGCTTGCTCTGGTGTCATAGGGGAGGCTTTTACCTTCCCTGTTCCATCTGTAGATTTTAAAGAGCTGGAGCTCCCCTGTCGCCTGTGAGCACTATCCAGCTGTCTGTCCTGAACCACTGGCAATCCAGATTTGCCTACTGTTGTAAGTCCATTTGGTTGTGTCGTTAGAACTGTCCTCTTGTTGCTGTTGTCTTCAAACAGCTGCTGAACCTGGATCTGGCCGTGGCTACCAACATGTAGGTGCTCATTCATTGTGTGCTTATTGCCTCCAGCCTAAAATTCAAAACAATACGTTTCCAATTAAAAAGAAGAACATAGAACTGAAGGATCTAGACTTCCAAAACTCCCAGTGTTTTCACCCCTATGTCAGATTATTTCTATTAACCATTTTTCTAAAAGTCATTTGTCTATAGTTAGGTTAATATATGATCAATATGTCGTGATGTTTTCAATACTGGCTGCATTTGCAAGATTCCCTATCTCAATTATTTCCTCACTCCCACGACTATTTAAATTAAAGGTTTGCAACAAAGATGTGGTAGTACCATAAGCTAAGTATTTCTCTGGGTTATCGGTATGGCAATAGCCCAGTCATATCAAGAAGTATGCTAGAGGGAAATTAAACCTGACGCTACAGAATACAAGTAGCAGTTTGACTTAAGCCTGGGATTCACATTATGCCTGCCAGCAATTCTACTGATAAGGCTCTTTCTGTTCCCTTTCAGTATAAATTCGTAACAATTAGGATTGTAACTCAAAATCTGGTGTAGGACAGGGCTGTCCATCTTCCGGTTGTATACAGCCCCTCCCCCACCCGCACCCCCCAGGAAGTCCCCCACATTTCCTACCATGTGGGCTTGACATGGCCCTGCAGAATCCCCCTTGCCTGGCACATGGGCAGTGTTGGCAGCACACAGGACCCCCCCACACCAACTACCCATGAGGACGGCTGCAGGGGTCTATGGGCTGCTGGCTGGACAGGCCTGCAGTAGGAAACCAGCTGCTACATATAATTTTAAGCTACAAGGAATATGCTTTAACATTTAAAAAAAAGAAAGAATCTGGAAGTTATAAAAATCCAAGAAAGTAAGTTTAACACATGGAAATGCCACAGCCTTCTTTCAGCAAAGCTTTTAGTCACTGGACCTAAGTGTATGCTTTAGCAATTTGGCAAACCAAGGCCTATTACAATAGCACTTAGGCAGCATGGAGTACTAGCCATGGTACAGAGAGAAAAAAAGAAAACACAATCTGATACTTCTGTAATTTAGAAAATAGGTCTGGTTTTCTAGTTTTAATTATAGATCAAACATGAGCATTCAGTGATCTCAAACAATAAAAGACCTGAAGCACTGAAGGGTGAAAACAACTAGTGTGCATTACCACATTTTGTAAGGAGAAGCAAACAATATGCAAGCATACACTTGTCACCTGAATAGACATAATTAGAATTCCTTATTTATTCTATGCAGAGGATAGTTATTCTGTCCCTAAGAAAGGACTGCAGCAGTTTTAAACACATTAATTTCATGTATAAATTTAAATCTTTAAAATAAAAATAATTTTTCTGTAACTTTTTAACTTACATTTATCCTTTGTGTAATTCACTGAAGCCAATGAGGGAACACATATGAATCTGAGAATAACAGAGTAATAAAACCAAGCTTTACTGAAACTATGGATTCCAATGGTGGTAACAGTCAATAGTTACACAAGGCTCTTAGGGCCTGACCTAACAAGTGTGAATAGTCACAACTCTGAATGCTCTCACGTGTACTTGCTGCAGGTGCTTGGCATTAATAAAAAACAGGTCTTAGGAATTTAAACTCATTCTCTTGGCTCCTTGACCATATGTGGCAAACTTAGAAGTATTAGGTATGACTATATGGGGCCTGAATTTTCTACATGAATTTACTGCAAAGAATTCACAAGAAAGTAAGTGAAGTTATAGCTGTGGGACTGACCAGTGCTGAAGATGCATTTACAAATACGGGAACAAAAAAAAAAATCACCAGTGCATCAGTTTTTCAAGGTAACTTCACAACTGTGATACCAAGCCACGGATTGTAAACAACTGCTCACTACTGGATTCAGTTCAAAATATTTTTCAAACTAAAATACAGGGTCTTCTTCTTAGCATGTCTTGGACAGTATACTGGCAGGAAATAAGCAAAATAAGGGTGTCATCTTTGGCAAATTACCCTCTCTCCCATTAAAGTTTTCGATAAAAATGACCTGGTGAATGTCTTGATGGTCAAGTTACCAAGAGCATCTTAGAGTTTTTCCCACTAATAGGAAAGAGGGAGGTTTTTCAGATATATCTCCTATATCCCTGTCCATTGACTTTCCGGCTCTGTTGCACATTTCCTGTGTAAACATACGCAAGACATTTAAATATTTTTGTGTCTCAGTTCCCTATTGATAGAATGGGAGAAAATCTTTCCTTTCTTCTACTCTTGGCCTATTTATTTAAAATGCAAGCTGTTCAGGGTGCAGAATGTCTCCTGCTAGATGTTTGTACAGCATCGCTCTGGACAAAACGGAGTACCACTGGTGGCTGGGGCCACATGTTACCATTATACAAACAACCCTCCTTTCTTTCAGCTTGGTCTTACACAAGTGTGAGAAGAATTCTACTGTTATGTCTCCACCTGATATACCAGCTGCAATATTGATGCCAAATCACTCGCACGAGTTCACTGAAACTATTATGCAGAAGAACCTCATTAAGAGTAAGAACACTTGCATCTGATTCTCATTTTCTCTTCTTGCAACCAAAGAAAAAAAACTACTTCACTAATCATTTAAAAAATGTGCTAAAACTAAATTCACAGATAACTAGAGTGGGTTCTGATTTCAGGCAATGAAAAGTCTGCTGTTTTCACTACAAAAGAATGACAGACTTCCCCCATGAGAAAGTCTGTCCTTGTAGAACAGATTATACCATACTGTCAGATTCTATTAAAGTTTTTACTGTGTTGTGACAAAGACATTTTTAATAAAATAATTCTTCAATGCCCTCCCTCCCCCCAAATAGAAAAACCTAGACACTATCTACACGTTTTTGGTCATATCCTTTCAGTTTGTCCATCTGAGGTTTGCAGAACAAAGAAACTCTCCAGAGTTCCTGGGAGTTGTTTCTGCTGAGCTTACTGTTCTTCCGCATCCATTTTGAATCAGCTCTAATAACAGACCTGTTTTATTTCATCATTGTGATTCAACTGCATATGTTTATTTGCAAAGTCATTTGGGCATGGGTAATCAAATTTGATTGATCTCGCAAGAAATGTTATGACATGCTAACATTCAAAGCAAAGGAGATTGAAACATTCAAGCACAGTGAAGATATATAGAATATTGACACTAATTGCCTCCCTTGTTTGAAATCTCAGAAGCACCGGGAATTAAGCCTTCAAGGAAACTTAAGTGCCCTGTCACTCCTAACGGCGATTCCTCCAGGTCAAGTTTGAGGAATATTTGTTTGGCATTTCCTGGAAGAGCGCCCTGTTCTTCTACATCTATTCTTCTCAAACAGCCAAAAAGAAGACTTTAGTCCTCAGAGCAGTCATTTGACCCCAGTACTCTTTCCTGCCATGGCAGGGGGTTGGACTTGATGATCTGCTCAGGTCCCTTCCAACCCTACAAGCTACGAAACTATAAGAACCAAATGCACTTAATGGGAGTTGGCTTGATTCTGGAAGGAGACGAGCATAAAGATTAAATGCATGAGGAAGACTATATTGATAAGACTAGCACAAAAATTCTGCAATGTACAAGTTGGAAAAACCCAAGCCAAGAAATTCTAGAAGTCAAAGTTTCTTCTGGCACGTTAATTTAACCACACTTAATGATGCACATTATCAACAAGCTAGGACAACAATGGGAAATAATATTTATGGGCAATTAGTCTGAGCCAGTGCTAAAGAAGACACCCTCTTTTTTGAAATTTATTGACTAAAGTGCTAAACTTGAATTAATTTTCATTTTCTTAATTTGATTCTCCGGATGATAAGAGCTCATTGTTTTCTGCATTTAACAAGCACTGCAGTTTTCATTAGATGAATCTGTACATTCCTCAAACTGACACTCTTTGTCTTGTACAAAGGTGTTAACAAAATTAATTTATCCATCCATTGGTAGTGAGCAGGGATTCTTTTTCCAATGAGCATGACTGCAAATAACACTTCAAATTTTAAACAAAGCTGTTCTGCCTGCCTGGGTCTTTAAACATCTTCAGCATTTCTTCTGCTGCTGTTCATAGTTTTTAGAAGGGGCAGAAAGAAATTACCAGGACTTTCTGGGTTTTCTGTATCCACACTTGATCCTAAATAGCAGCAATGCATGCACTTTGTGCTCACACTTGTAAGGAAGCAGAATTTAGTACTGGACATATTCAGAGTGGAAGAGGCTGAAAGACAACTTGAGAACCTACTCACAGAGTAGCCACACAGCTACAGGGTGTGAAACTGCTTATTCTCCCTTTAAATAACCTGAAGAGGGTTTCAGATTTATCAGGCCTACCAATCAGACTGAAATATAAGATGGAGTTTCCTTCCCTCACACAGGCTAGTGGAATACAGAAATAGTATCACAGAGCTCTTCTACCTAGCAGTTTGGAGAGATGAAGACTGAAGTCTCCCCAAGGGTTTGCCTCTACATTTCAGCCTCTGGCCATAGGGGCAGAATTGTTTCACCTAGTGGATGCGCAAAGGGCAGCTTGTGGCCAAGTCTATAAACAGATATTGTTTTTGGAGTGGGATCAGCTGTGCCAGGATGTGCCCTGGAAGAACAGATCCACTTTGCTAGCATCTACAGATGCCACCAAGGCTGTCGTTCTGCAGGGTTGGGCCCATGCTGCTCCCAGGGTTTCAGGGGTTTCACCCTGCACAGATGTGGCCCTGAGCTGAGGAGTGGCAGAGATGCAACACTACAAGAATACCTCGCAGGAGAATTCCCAGGGCATGTATCTGTGAGCATCACTGGTACAGGGGAATTGCCAAGGCATGCATTTGCAAGCGTCACTGGTGTAAAAGCATTCACACGGTGCACAACGGGCAAACAAATGTCCTCCCATTTAAAGAATCACAAACTGTGATTACCTCTGGTCCCAGCAACATTTTTGGGCACCTGAGGCATGGCAAAAGGCTAGGATATCGTTTGCTCACAAACTGTGCCACAGCAAAAAAAAATTATGGTGGCACAAGGGCAACATCCTGTTCGTACCCTAAGTGCCCCTGCTGCCGATTTTGCTGGCTGGGAGCTTGCCACAGAGCTCCTGGAAACAGTCACAGTGCTCCCGCTCCCCAGACGGTGCTTGCAGGGCCTGCCCCCCGCCTGTCACCTAACTGAGGAACGCTGGCTGTCAGGGGGTGCATGTGCACCCTCTACGTGGCACCTCCTATGCATCGCCACTGAGCTGCACTTTCGACAACCACTAAATGAAACAGAATTCTGCCCCAGGGTCCTGACAGTTTTATCAAGTCCAAGCTTGTGCAGCTTACAAACTCCACTGGATTCACTAGTGAAGCTTGTAAGTTCCCTGAACCATAACTAATGGACTTTTGGAGACATAAATGGCTTTAAAACGAATGTGTAAACCTAAGATGTTTACAAAATATCAGCTTCTGCTTCCACAGGTGAGCTTGTAAATTCTAGTAACCAAATAGCTGCACAGCCATATATCTTCCTGTATACATTCACATCACGGTTTATTGCCCATCCTCAATTTCATGTTTATAAAGGTTTATCATTTTCTCAAGCTCATTTCTTCTCAAATATCAAAGCATTGATTTCTCACTAAAACTGGTTTTATGCGGCTACTATGTCTGAACTCGCAAAATTTACTTTCTGAAGTTATCTGGGAAAATCAACTATAGAAGAATATTTAAATAAACATGTTTTCTCTATTATTTCATAACTCTGAAAAAGTGACTGCTATTTTGCTTACTGCTTCGTTTGTTCATTTATGGAAGGGGAGAGAACTGGTTAAAAAATATCCACATACATCCTTAGAAAAAATTAATACAGAAACCATTTTTCCAGCATGTTATGAATGTTTCAAGACAAGATTTTAGAATGAAAAATATTTTACAATCATTATTATAGCACTGGTAGTAGTTATATTTAAATTGGATCCCGTGTGCTATAACTGGGAACAGATTAGCAGTCAAGTTTATTTCTGTAGTTCAGGCCCAGTAAACGTAAAGCTCTATCCCAGTATTTTCTACTATGTCCATCACTGTAGGATATAGTATAAACCTTGGTATTTCCATCTACTAATTACATTTCCTAACAATAAGGCACTATATGTAATCAATACCTAGGAAATTATTTTCTATCTTTGCTTGTTCAAAGTCATTCAGCTTCAGGAATTGTATTCATGCAAACTGCCCAAGGCAAACAAATGAGCTATAATTATTTATAATCAATCGGGTCCATCAAAAACATAAACAGCTAGTTATGCTGTCATCAGAATGCCAAAAAATGATTCCTGAAATGAATCTTAATAAAAAATGACCATGTACACCACGCAAAGGATGAACAGGGGCTCTAACTGTAAAGACATTCAGTAGAATAAGACATGCCAGTCTGATGTGACAAAAATATTAGGGAAGGGAAAGTTTTGCCACAGCAATAAATAGCACACTTCCAGAAAGTGTGTTACACAACATACTCTGCTCTCTAGGATAGTTCCAGGTGCTTGGCTTTCAGCTGCTTTGTGCCTGTCATGCCACAGGCATATAGGTATCAGGTGTAGCATGCTTCAGAGCTTATTTAACTTATAGTGTGCATATGGCTGAAAGTCTTTTTTTCTGGGATAAATGGATTCAACAGTGTATCTATGTTTATAACTTCTAAAAATAGCTGTTTATTATCACACTAGCAATATGGTGCCATTGTTATAATGATCCTATAATTACTATACTTCTTACACATGAGAAGATGAAGTCCTTGCCCTGGAGAGCTTGCTTTCAATATTAAATATAACAAAATTCACTCATAGTGGACTGATTACTTCTGGCACACATCCCACTCCAAATCCCTTTTTGAAAAGTTAACTTTGATCTTGCATTGCAATGGCTTTAAAATACTGTCATAGCAGGACCTCATCTCAAGAGCGATGGTTCTGTGAGTGCCTCTGATCTCACAGATATTTTCCTAAAAAACACAACATTCTTGTGACACCACAAGCAATTGATTATGAGGGGGGTGGGAAGCAATAAGGAAACATCTATTGTATTTGTCAACGGTCATAGGATTAAATCGGTGCTGGGAATAAACAGAACTTGCAGCATAGCTATCCACAAGCTTTCAATCACAAGAGTCTCAGAAACTCAGGATATTATAGTGAAATGTAAACTAAACGGTCTGATATGGAGTTGAGGCCAAAGAGCATGAGTTAATGAAAGCTGGTGAGCAACAGACAGCTAACTGAAAGTAGGGAAATATTAGGAGGGGCTTGAACAAAGATGACAAAGTCTTTTAGTGCGCTGTATAAGGGCAGTTGTTCCCGGCCTAAACAGCAGGAGGAGACTAAAACTGCAATAATGGAAGAGAAACTGGAAGAGTACAGGGCAGAAGAGTGAGTGCAACAGGAAGAACAGAGATGTAGGTGAAGCAGAGGACAGACACAAGACACTGGTAGAGGTATTCACAGATGGAGGGAGATTTACATGAGCAGAGCAGCTGGCAAAGATTATCTTTGCCACAGCATGTAGAATGGATACAAGGGTATGAGATGAAGACTGAAGTAAAAAAAAAAAAGTTCACAGAAAACAAAGCAAGAACTAAAGATTTTGAAAGTAGGGAACAGATATGAAAGGGCAGATTTTGGAGAAAAGGACTAGGAGTCTGTGATGATCCCTCCAACATTTTCAAGCTTCAGTGTCCAGAAAAATAATGGCAGTATTGATGAAAATGGAGAAGGAAAGGATTAGGATAGTCACACGCTCTTAAAAAACAAACATACTAACCAACACAACCTGGTGCAATACACTGCTAAGTCTGTCTGCTTAGCAACACAGGTTGCCATGATGACAGAGATTGAAGCCATATCTCTGTCCTGATGTTCACAGCCTTCTGAGGGAAGGCACCTCTCTCTGTCTGACCCTGCTGACTAATAAGACAAGACAGGATTTTCACAGAAGTTGAACCTATAGCATATGGCTCAGCTGTGTAAGCAGTTAAGAATGGCAGTGGGGCCCCTTCACTTTCATTATATATTTCTTCACCTTTGTTTTCCCTCTATAGGTTCTTCAGATATGCGCATGTGCACGCACACACAAACATCTTGTAAAACTAAACATGCTATTTTTCCTAAAAGGCAAAAGAAAGAGACTGCTATTTTTATTTTTAGCTGCATGGGAGGTACAGAAACTACGGTGATGGGAGTCATGTAAGTATATGCACAGTGGGAGGGGAGGCAATTTAGAAAGAAAAATTAGAAGTTCCATTTTCGGCTCTGTTTTGAGGAAGTGGTGAAAAATAAAATTAAAGGGAGTTCAGTCAGGCAGTGTTAAGGGAGGTCACTGCAACTGCAGATCCT